TATATTTGTGCGATCATATGCAGGTATATCAAAATTGGATTAACTACACATGGTTTAGATTCTTGTTAAAAATTATGCGTATTAATGTATATATATATTTTTCGATTTTCTCGTTTTACTAAAAATGATTCAACTAGAATTTACACAAAAAATGAATCGTGATATACATATAGTTATAGTTGATAAAATAATAGGTCTAAACCCTAAATACACAACAAAGTACATAATTGTTAAAACGCACTATAATCACATCGAAATAAGTCTTATAATAAATATAATCACTATAAATTATAATTGATAAATATGTCTGGTTTTGATATTGCAACTATTCTCGATAAGAAAGATAGAACATTACCCAAACCCTTTAACATTCGTCCTGGATATGATATGAAATATGTCGTGTCATATATTGGAAATTATTTTGCTTTTGATGGAAAACGATATGACGAACTCTTCGATAATGAGAGATTATTTGATACTTTATCTATCATAAAACAGAATGAAACACCAGTTCAATGGGCGATACAGGTGAGAGTACCTTTACAGAATTTATTAAATGCTGGAAAATTTAGTGTATATCACCAGTTATGTTTATTCGCATCATTTGGTAAAGGTAAATTTAATAATTTCAATTATTATAGGCCAAGAATCCACAAAAGTCATATGGCTATTTGTTTTGGTTGCTGGAAACTCATAAAAATCGATGATGTACAGCCTAAAAAAACATTCCATTTTACTAGACAAAGATATGTTGATCGTCTCGTATCTAGTGATTTGATGATCAGTCATTGGGATAATGAATGTGATAAACCAAAGACCGATTTCGGAAAAGCAAGGATTATACAAAGAGCTTGGAGAAATTACAAGAATAGACCTGAGTCATTAGCCACTCGAGTTTGGGAAGCAGTTGAAAACGACAATACTTCCGAGAACAAGAAGTTTTTAAGTATAACTCCTCAAAAAATAAGACTTCCTGAAACTTCTTATACTGGCTATGGTGGAAGAACGATTCTAGTTAAAGATGTACCAGCATATGCTCGAAATTTACCTGAAATGTTTTATCGTTATAGTCCTAAAAGTTGGGCAGATGCTAAGAAATATCAATTACAGGTTAGATTATCTAACCACGTTTTAAATTTATTAAGGCAACAAGGATACAGAGTAATCTATAATAGGCAATGGTATGTAATGTTAAAGTGGATACAAAATCCTGAATTATATATTGATAATAAATACCCGCCATTTATTAGAATCGAATAAATTATTATGGGCCATTCAAGAAGAAATGTGTCAAGTTAGCAATTTATAACATATCAATTATTTATTTAATGTTTCGATACCTTTCCTAAAGGAAAGCTGGTATCTTTTTTTGTACCAGATTCCCATGTAAACCGAAAATATGTGTCTCTGACACTAGCTCTGCTATTGTTACTTATTAAATTTTGCAACATCTAGATTTCATATGTTATTCGAAGTTCATAGAACATCTACATCGTGCAAATATGGTCAGTTGATGTCTTGTGTGACTATATGCAGGGAACCCTAAAATTGGATTAACCGCACATGGTTTAGATTCTTAAAATCATGCATATTAACATATTTTCCCATATATTACTATTACTATTACTATGTGTCAAAAATATTCATGGATCTCTTCAGATTTTTGCAAAGATATTAACCTTGCTAGCTCTGCTAATGTATACTCGAAAAAGGTAGATCGCGAAAGATCAAAGACCACGAATCAAATGAATATTACTTTTTTCCAATTAATCCTAAAATTCGAATTAGCAGTGATTAGAAATGATTTACTATATTTTAATATAATGATTTAATATATTTTTAGCGTGATTCTAGCTCGACTCTAGCACAAGTATGATATTTTACATATAATTATATAGAAAAAATCTAGCGCGACTCTAGCTCAACTCTAGCACGACTCAACCACATTTAAATCTATATATTTTTGCATACAAACTCATTTCATACAACACAAAAATCCCCCTAGTGTAGATAATGTATCGATACCTAATATATATCTACCTCAATTTCAACACCGGCTGGATACGTGCATCTCTACAGAGTGGCGAGTAAGATATATACTATATACTATATTCTATATATAAAAAATAGCGGGATAAATATTATTATTTGATTAAACTTGGACATCTTTTTTATATGAAATCGAAGAAAAAAAGTTACAATTGCAGAGGATAAAGATAAGTTATTCAAGCTTAGCGGAGTTAGTTTCACTAAAAAATCTCATAATTTATTTTCTTTATTACGCAATTAATGATTTGATTTCTTTTTCCAGATCTAGAGGACTCATCCATCCGACTCTGATGGACATAGGATCAGAAATCGGCACAGTGGTATCAAAGACAATGAATTCACGATTTCGCAAATAGTTATTGATAACTCTGGAGGCTTTACGTGGATCTTCCTCTATGTATTGTCTTATAATTCTTGCAATATCTTCTATGGACCCCCCGCCATTAAACAACGCAAGATGAGTTGCATTTTCACGAATAATTTTTGGTACTTGAGTGAATTTATGCGAAATATAAATTGCGGAAATATTACTATGACGCCCTCTATTAAAAAATGGAATAATTCGATCCTGGATTGACTGTGGTTCGGTGCATAAATCCTCGATTATAACCACTGTGCGTCTTTTTGGATTTTTAAACTGCTTCAGATCTGGAATTTTATCAGGCGTAAGTGCAGTAAAAGTAACATCTTCATAATATGGTTTTGAACGATCTGCTATTTTCTTATAGAAGTTTCGAATTAATCGGTATTTGGGTTCATTAATATAGTGCCCTACTAATACAATATCATTACATCTTATAGGACGTTCACCAATTTTCTTTTTTCCCTCTTTCATATCATAATACTTATCCCCGAGAAAGAGGTTTAACAGCATATTGGTCTTACCAGTGTTCGATCTCCCAGATACCACGATATAGAAAGGCCATTTTGGAGCATCTTCATCATCTAAAGATTTTTTCGGTGGTTTGATCTCATCGATATTATATACATAAAAATATTTCATTCTGACGGTAACTATATCTTTACGAATTTTTTTCTTGCCAAGAGTGATCGGCGTGAAGATTCTTCACGCGCACGTGAATTTTTCTAATATTAATACACATAATAATAATAATAAGTAAGTATTAACATGTCGAATCTCGTTGAAGCTCAAATTTACGCTGAAAAATGCGGAGGAAAAGTTCACATCCAAACTGGTCCTACAACTTTCTTATTTTTGTGTAATAGAAATCACTTATGGGAAAGACCAATAGAAATTATTACGAACAGATATGAGTGGTGTCCTCTATGTCCACATTCGAAAGGAGAACGTACATCGAGGTATATATTCGAAGATCTGTTAGGAAAAGAATTTCCACCGTCCAGACCTAAGTTCTTAAAAGGGTTACATCTCGATGGTTATAATAAGGAATTGCAACTAGCATTTGAGTTTCATGGCCAGCAACATTTCCAGGTTGTTCCGAAGCATTTTCACCCGAATGGCAAGGCTGATTTGGCAAGTCAGCAACTACGTGATCAAAAAAAGCGGGATATATGTAAGCAAGAAGGTATATGCCTCATCGAAATACCATATTTCTCGGATATTGAATCTTTTATAAGAGAAGCTTTAAGCAAGAACGGCTACCTCTAAGACTGTTTCAATTGATAATGGTATATTTCGAGGATACACTGGGTTTGAAGACACATGGTTAACAGTTTGATAATGATATTTTTGGATGAATTCGTCTGGCGGGTACTCTAAATTTTCTATATCTACGATTTGCAATTCTTCCATTTTGAATGGTCTACGAGGATTACGTCCCATTAAATGTTTTGTGGATTCAACTGGTTCCTTTTCAAGATAATATAAAACTGGCTGTGGCGGATTTTTCCCAACGACGACTTTTCTGATTTTATAAATACGTAATGACCAATATGGATCAGTCGCTCGACGTCTATGGCCACCCTCTAGCTCACCGGGTTTTAATAAGTATCGAACAGTAGTCCCTTTCGGTATTTGCTCTTCATTTTCCCCAATGGGTCTTTTGTGTTTTATAGAAGGTTTAGATATTACTTTTTCCAACTTCATTGCATCAATTGGGGCCATACCGATAAGACGTGTTGGAGTACGATTCATATCATCAAAAATTACTTTGAGAATTTTATTCCATAATGTCGAACGCTCCCCTACTGGTAATTTAGATTCTATAGCATATTGAATATCATATACTATTTTCGCCAAACTTCGTTTTAATCTTTTAACCAATGCTAGGCTTTCGAAACTATAAAGATCAACAACCCAAATAGGTACATTATGACGTTCCATTCCTCTTGCAAAGTGTCCGGAGAATTCTTTACCACCATCCAGCATCAATAATTCCGGCCATGTGTGAAGATTGTTAGGATCATTGTAAATTTCTTCGATAGCTTCCCAAACTTCTAAACTATTCTTCGATGTTAATGAGCGTCCACTTTTATAACGTGTAGCAACGTCTATAACCACTAATGTATAACGATATATTTTTTCACCATCCTGATCATCACAACCATGGGCTAATAGATCACACTGATGTACTTTGTTTGGTATAGATATCTTCTGGAATCCCGCTCCTGCTTTGCATTTTTGCGGAAAGAGAAATATTTGATTAACATACTGGTTCTTTAACCATTTTGCAATATCTTGCAGGGAAAAATGATTATATCCTTCTTGCCAACAAGCTTTTTGTAACTGCTTTGCGTTTGAACTAAATCCAGGTACGTGATAGTAAATTATACGAAGAACGATTTTTAATTCTTCATCAGCACTGATTATAATAGTAGGTACATTCATTACCATGATCACGAAATGTTATAATCGATACTATAAACCAAGGCTGAATTTTTTGTCATGGATTTCAATTTCGATCCCGCCTATTTAGCATTGCTGAAAAGTAATCAAGAGTTGAGGAAGGAACTTAATGCAGAGGTAAGTATAAATTGTCATAACGAGAAAAAAATCTGCATTCTCATAAAAGAACTAGAACAATGTAATAGGTCCATTTCATTTCAGGATACCACAATCATAGCTCATGAAAAAGAGATCCAGGAACTCAAATCCCAGCTATCTGATTTGCAAAAGCGTCTCCGGTCTGCTTTAAAGGATGTAGATAAAACAGAGAGTTATATACTTGTTCGAGAACAACAGTTGGCTACACTCGAAGAGGAAGTGGTCATATTAAAAAAGAAAATTCGGAAACTTACCTCCAAGAAGTATAATAGACTTGCAATGTCTGATCCAATCCAACCACCTAGGCCCAATGAACTCAATAACATTTTTGAAATGGTTCAGGACGAATGCAGAGATATTGATGAGCATTTTCGAGGGTCACAATCTTCTCAATTGAATCAGAGAGATATTTTGACCAAACTTAATATCATCACTAGTTCCGCAAATAGATTGAAAGAAATCGCTGATTGGGAAAATGTCGAAGCACAAACCCAGTATCAGCAATATGGTCAGATGATTGCGGGGTTGAATAATCAAGCAACTCAACTTCAAGCCCAAATTCAGGGAGATGCGCAAATTATCATACAATTGCAGGCTCAGCTGGATACGGCGAATAATAACTTTGATCTTCTTAACCAAGCCCACATTTTCCAGACGGGACAATTGCAAACATGCCCATAATTTCCAGACGGGACAATTGCAAACATGTCAAGCTGAATTACAAAATTGGCATAGGAAGCATGTAAAAAGGAAGGGTAAGCATACCAAACAAAAGGCGAAGCATAAAAAATGGGAAAATAAGGAAAAAGATTCCCGGCTAAGAATAATAAATTTAAATCAGCAAATTTTAACGCTTCAGAATAATCTACAAGATATGGCTCAGGCATCAAGACAACATATCTATCTAACTATTGCACCGAAACTTGCCCAAATTCCAGTCTATATAGGCCAGGAACCACCGGACGATTATTGCAACAGGGTTGCTCAAGCAATTTCTTATGCCGATACACTTATCACTGATGCTAATGATGCCAATGCAAACACTTTTACAGATGCTCACAAGGCAGATATTTATAAATCGCAAATGGGAGGAAAATATTTACCAGTTCCTGCGCAATATCCAAATGGAACAAATATCGATACTCCAGCACAATTCATAACTTGGCTCAGATTCAAATATCAGCAAGAAATGGTTGGAACTCAACAAGTTGCAATTCAGAGATTGGTGTTCGAATTGTTCATGCCTACTGACACTCCAGAAACATATGAGAATAGAATTCGACCCTTTTTACTAGGAGTGCCTAATAATGATGCCAATGCTTTAGGATTTCTTATGAAACATTTACCTGATGAACTTTTCACTCAAATGAAAGTCGCACAACCCGCGGACATTGATGTATTCTTTACTAATCTCAAGAATATGTGGCTGGAGCGTAGACCTTCTTTATTTAACTATGGAAGTGCAAATAATATGAATGGGATGGCATCTCAAGTACCCCAACAAATTGTACAACAACCTGTGTTTCAACCGCCTCAGCAAATTGTTCAACAACCCGTGCTCCAACCTCCCCAGCAGATTGTTCAGCAACCAAAATCTCAACCACATCAACGAATTACAAATCCTCCAATATATGAATATCAAAATTTCCGTCCAAAAACTGAGAAAGCCAAATATTATGAAGAGTTGAAAAATTACGCGGAAATGGGCCTTGAGGTTGAAGACAACAGAGTATTCGAACCAATGGAAATTGATTATGCAATTATCAACCTTGCAAATAAATTAGATCAACCTGAGGGATTGTCAAACTCACCGAGTCAATCAATAAACATGGTCAGAACCCCTAGAGTAAATACTAGACCAATCCAACATAAATGCGAAATTTGTAAAAAGCTAGGTCATACTTATCGCAGTTGTCCCATAATTAAGAATATGATGATTAATAATTCTAGAAAAAGAACTGGTCGTGTGAATTTCGCCGATGGGTTCTCACAAGATCAATTTGATAATAGCTGTGATGCAGAAGAAATTCCTGATGAATCTGCTATTTCTGATCAAGAAGGTGATGGTGAATTTGATGATAACGCACTTAGTGAAGAATCCAATGTCAATGTATCCAGAATTAAAAAAAAATAGATCGACCTAAGAAGACATCCGATAAACAATCCCGATCCAAAGGCAAGAAAGATGCATATTCTTCAGAGGGTAAGGAGATTCAAGTTTCTCCTCGAGTATCACAAAATCCCACTTCAACTTTACTAGAACGACGAATTCGTGAAATTATTCAAAGTGAGCTTGTAAATTCTGCTTTATTTGAGGAGACTATAAGTAAAATCTTACGAAATTTTCAGAAATCTAGTACCGCAAATGATACTTCTCAACAAAGCGAAGATACCGAGGATGAAGAAGTTATCGAAGATATGGAAATTAACTTTGTCCAGGATAAAGATGTGATAGATATTGCGACTGTGCAGGGTAAAATCAAACGTTTAGTACTCTCGGCAATTTTAGTTGATTCTTGCTCAAATACTTTACTTATGTCTAGGGACATTGCTGAGCGCTTGGGTTTAAAAATTGATAAAAGTACAACGTTTTATTTCAAGGGGGCGGCCACTGTCCTAACCAAATCTATTGGAATGGTTTATAACGTACCATTAACCCTAGCTCCTGGCTGTGTATTTTATTTAGATTTCGCAGTTATTGATTACCCAAAGACTATGCTGTTATTGAGCAACCCCTTCCTTAAAAAACACGATTGTGCGATGGATTGGGCTAAATCCGAAATGAAGCTTCATTGCAATGGAAAAGATTTCATCATCCCAGTTACTATGCATAGAGTTGAAAATGAGCTTGAGGTACACCATGTTGATGCAATTCCTTCTATTTCTGAAGAGCCAGGTACAGAGTTAAAAAAAAATGCGTAAATTGTGAGAGGGGTATCAAAATCATTACTGAGCTTAATATTCGTAACAGACTTTTACAATCAAAATATGAAACTATGAATAAAAGGAAAACCGATTAAAAATTACTGGAGGTAGACACAGGGTGACTATTTAATATATGATCTGAACTTTTTATTAGCTCCTCTCCCTCCTTTAACACCTTTTCAAGTTGGCTATCACTATTAGTGGATGGATCAGAAATTCGTACAGATTTGGACTTCGATCGCCTCTTTTTCGTCTGTTTATCTGGAATATCAGCAGAGCTATGCAAAGTTATTTTGGTGTCTTGCGATTGAGAATCGAGATGGAAATCATTATTTATATTTTGTCCAGGGATTTCAGTGTTTGGCAAGTAATCATTTACAAGTATAGATGGTTGAGATGAATGAGAGTATATCATTTGTTGTTTACACTCCCGATTTTCAATATAATCTTTGGCTCGAACATAGGATATACGATATTTTTTTGCCATAGAATTTATAGCATCAGGTACTCTACCGGGTGATGTTTTAATATCTTTGATTGCCTCAACTGATAAAAATCTCGCATTAGTGCTATAATATTCTTTATGAATACGACCCATATCAGAAATTTTCTATTGTTTATAGCTATTAAAAATAAAGAAAAGTTTCGAAATGTTTCGAGATGTTTCAAAATGTTTGTATATGTTTCAAAATGTTTGTATATGTTTCAGAATATTTATTTTTTTTTTTAATATGTATAAACATTTGTACTAATTATTTATCATATCCACAAATTTCCATATATCATGGATAGATGTATAAGATATGTGATACTTTTTAGCTAAAATCGATATTGCATTTTGCATACCTCTACTATTTATTATTTCACAAATGGTTTCAGGTAAAAGGTATGTTTTATTTAATCGAAATCTTTTGGATATTCTCTAATAATCAGAAATTTTATGATTTATCTTATTTCTATTACACATAGTTTAGCCAAAATATATGGCCAATGTGCAAGATAAAGAATCTCATATTGTAAAAGTTATATCTGGATTAAATTCTTGTAATAAAAAATTACAAGACAGGTGCATAAAGCAAGATCAGGGGTTTGATCGTGAACGGAAAGGTTGGGAACAGGAGAGAAAAAAATGGAGTCAGACAGTAGATGAATCCAATACTGCGATTCAGAATTTACGTGCCCATGATCTGGAGCTTATTGCTGAGACTAAATGTCTGCAGATTAAAAATGTTAGCAAAGATATTTCTCTTGCAAGTTTTAAAGCCGATAACGATATAAATTCCAAGAAAATTAGATCACTTGAGTCTATGATCAAGATATTGGAAGGTAAGTTGAAATCGGCTCAGATGGATGTGCTTTCAGTTCAAAACGACTCACTAAAAAAAGATTCCGAGATATTATCCCTCAAATCCAAAATAGCTGAATTAGAAAATATAAGAGCGAATTGGAATCGAAGGTCAATGAACTTGAGTGTCTGAAATCGGAGGCTATATTGAAACCCATAGTTGGTGGAAATGACGAAAAAAATATGACCAAGTCTGATGATATATCTGCAGTATTGCAAAGCAGGCCATTAGACGATGAATCAGAGATTTGAGGCTCTGTCTCTTCTTTGAATCATGACATTTACGTGTCTAGTGAACCTAGTAAAGATCTCAGTCAATATTTTCTACGCGGAAAAAATATGGATCCAATAGAAAAAATCGATGGTAATATCTCGACATATACCAATGATGAGATTACTGAACTACCAAAAATTGATACCGAGATCAGCCCTAAGATAAATGAGGGAACTAGTATTAGCAAAACTAACAACAATATACTCCAAGAAATACCGAATATAACTCCGCACCTTGCACAGCTGGAAAATTATGCTTCCTCTTTGATTGAATCGAATTCCCAGATGAGACCTAGTCTCGAGGCTTCACCTCTTCCGATAGGAGGAATAGGAGCGATCCCTGTTATGACAAGCACTTTGATGTCACCGCTGTCAGCATATATTTTTCTTGTTCTATTAATTATCGCAGTTATGTGGTTCGTGGTATTGAGACGTACATGGAATATAGGTAGGCTCAAAGAGCCATTGCTCCGCAGGACCGAAGGGACAACCCTAAAGGGTTATAAAAAACGTGATCGGATATGGGATGCATGGGCTAGGTATTAGGAATTATCTATTTGAGATTTTATTAACTAGAACTTTTTATTTAGTTGTTATATTAATAGATAATCAGAAAAATAACTATGAATATTAACGCTATTTCTCCTGCAACACACGCTTTATTAGTACCTGAAATTTTGAAAAATATATTTAGCCATCTTTCTAAAGATGAGGATCTATTTAAGATTATTACAGTCAATCATATCTGGCGCTCTGAAGGGTTTCGAGCTATCTGTAATTTATATGCGTTTCGACTTAATAATTGGGTTTCTCATTTTAATAATACTCTATCAGCATGGTATAAAGGAAAGATTTTAAAATCTTGTCTTAATGATGTTATTTCCTGTGTTTATAAAGATTTTGTTTCATTATCAATGACATATAATAAATACTTTGCTCGAGATAGAAACATGATATTTTTCTTTTCATGAGAAATGTTAGGGGATCTTATAAATGAGTATACACAGTGAGTCTCGATTTAACGGATATTTTTTTCCAGAAAATTTATCCGTTAAATCGAGAGATCCGCTAAATCGA